CAGGGAGACACCATCTAACCTTTCTTCTATGTACAAGTGGCATGTGAAGCTCCTTATCTAACCAAATCCATGGAAGCATCATCTCCATTTCCCACACGAAGAAACTGAGGTTCAGAGATAGGAAGCAACGTGTAAGCAAGTGGCAGAATCAAAACCCACACAGAGCTGGTTAGGGCTCCAGTAACACCACTGTGCCTCAAAGCACTCGGGTAAAGCTTGTTCCTGAGGGGTGTGAGACAAACACCACAGCAGCAAACAAACCCCAAATCCCACTTAGCACAAGGCTTGTCCCATGGCCCCACTCAAAGGCAGGAGGGTAGGTCTCCTGTATGCCAGGAGAAGAGAAGGCCAAGAGACCCTTGAGTTACTATGGACTGCACTACAGGGGTGCCCAGAGCTGCTGGACAGAAGGGACACCTGATCAACACAGAGTTCCCAGGAGCTCCCTTGTCTATGCGATTCTGTTAAGCCCAAACCAAGTCCCAGGCAATTCCGACACAGGCGGGCAGCAGTCAGCCCTGTAAACAGCTATGTTCCACACTGAGGCAGCATGCTCACAAACATGACAACCAGGAACGGAGTCAGGAGCATCACCACATATGTGCCAAGGCCCGGTGAGGAATGGGGGAAAACAATCCCCAACCAACCCAACCCTGGAGGGTACCAGTTCACACAGCAGCTGGCTATGGTAAGGACTGACTACCACAGGGCTGAGCCAAGGCCCAGGCCCAGAGATCAGTGAGGTAGGGCACCATGACCAAGCACTAAAGTGAGCACTGTCCACCTGCCAAGGACATGTCCCATCCCACCACTGGGCAAGGGTGGGAGCTCCCCAGTTAGGGCCACTAGGGAAATACTCACAGAGACAGGACACTGTCACCTTCACCTTGTTGTACCAGGCTCCCCCAGTCTGCATCATCTCCCACTGCCTGAAGTCACACCTGCTGATCTCGTCCCCACCCAGTGACCCCAAGTCTTTCCAACCTCTGTAAGTTGGGCTGTTCATGGATCTGATGCCCCCATGGTCTGTCCTCGTTGGCACGCCTGGCATTTAAGGCTCCTGTTGAGTCACCAGCTCTGGATTCACTACCCCTGCTCATTCTAGGTAGCCCAGAAATCTAGTCTACACTCTTAAGGGGAATGACAGCAGATGGGTCTGTGGCTGTCAGTATTTCAAAAATCAAGTTGCCGTCCAATGCCCTCAGCAAATAACCTTAGTCATATTTCTCCAGGTTTTGATGGAATTCCTCTGAATAAGTGTAGTAATGAAACAGGAAATAACCACCACATGTGCAGACACCCAGGTGACGTCAAAGCAGGGTCTGTCAACCGGACACTTGGTAAATCAGAACTGTTGTGTGTTTTGACACCAGTGACTGCATGAGGTGTCACGAGCCAGCAGTGGTCCGTTGCAGGCTTGCTCGGCTAACTGTGAGATCCCTGGAGCCTGCCTCGCATGCCTTCTCTCCTCGCCAGCACCCAGCATGGTTCTCCTACACAGGAAGATCTCAAAGCAGGATGCCACACTGGACCTTGGTGAGGCCAACAGGGCTGAGTGTCCTGGCATCCTAAGAGGAGGTTGGAGGACGGGAAGGAGCAGGGATGGAGGCTCTCAGGGAAGGCTAGCTGACAAGCGATGCAGGCAGACCACCTGGCTCCACATCCAGCAGCTGAAGATCATGGTTTTCCCAAGGTCCTCAAGTGAGAGGCTTTCTGACCAGCTGATGTGCCAGTGGATGGTGACAATGGTCAACGGGAGAAAGCAAGGTGCCACTTGTCCTTCACTACCACTGAGTGTCTCACCAGCAATGTGCCCACCACCTATATCCTCACAGCCTGGCATGGGCCACCACTGCCACTCCTCCACCTTGGAGGTGTCATCCTAAAATTTCACCTTAGAGCTAGAGTGGCACTGGCTCCCACACAGGACTCTGCAGACAGGCACTTACTTCCTAGGAGAGAAGAGGTGACACCAGAGCGCCTCTGGGATGTGGTCACTTCTGCTGCAGGCTGGAAGCACACCAGGTCAGCAGCTACTCTGGGACAAAGGGTCTGCTGGCACCCAGGCAGAACCCCCTGCTGGCTAAGTGGCTTCAGGCAAGTCAGTCCACCTTTCCAGCAGTGGTGGTGTTCTTTGTAAAAAGGAGGCAATGAGCAACACCCACCTAAAGAGACTTACAAGAGTGAGCCTTGGGCTCACCTGTGGCGCAGAGCATGCCCTTGCCTGCTGGGCACCAGCTGCCATTTTCCCTCAAGGAAGGCGACTGGGAGTCCAGGTGCTGTTAATGCATCCAGATGGAGATCCCAGAATGGCCCTTAGAAGCCCTGTGAGTTGGGCCATTCACTATTCGTTTCTTCACTCGCAATAAAGACGCATCAGTAGGCCTGTCCCTTAGCTCCAGCAGCATGTGCCATGGTCTTTGCTAGTGCCTGACAAGCGGCATGTGCTCAGCAACTGGGAGGTGTGACAGGTGGCGACACTGGTCCCAACAGCGGTGTGTCCTTGGTCTAAAGGCCTGCTGCTCCACAGCCCAAAGCAACTGAGAAACACCCAGTTCCAGCCTTGGCATCTGAGGAAAATGTACACTCCCTTAACAGCGGCAGGAGATAAAGCTTCCCGCAGCAAAGCCTCAGGACCACAAGGTTGAGAATAATTAAGTGCAGCTTCAACGTAGCTACGCATTGCATTTGGACTGTTCTTCACTGGTGAGTGCATAAGGCTGATTTGTTTCCTATCAGATTACGCTTCCAGAGCCAGACCTGATTTACTGCCCAAGGAGTTTACTGAGCACCTGTGAGGGGCTGCCTGGGGAGCACCTGCCTAGAAAGCTGTCTGTACAAAACCTCAGCACCACGCCTGACCTACAAACAGAAAACTGGTCTCCTTAAGCGTCAGCATGGGCCAGCTCACATGCTTGCTCTCCCCGAGTGCAGGACCCAGTTCATGAGCTCTGACGTGGGAGCTCACGGAGCAGTGGGAACACTGGGAGCCCGCAGGCCAGGTGCAGTCACGTGTAGCCACAGGTGGGTGAGACCCACTGACTCTGGCCCATCACACCAGTACTACTGAATGGAAGAATCTAACTTGCCCCAGCCAGCCTCTGCCAAGGCGCCAGAAGCGCTTCACAGAAAACAAAGGTTCATCTGTCCCCGTACACTCCTGGCTGACCTCCGGAAGTTGCTGTGTACCTGCTGATCACAGCCTCTGGGCAGCTGAGACCCCTTCCTGGGGAGACTCAAGCCAACCCCAAAGCCAGTCTAAACAGGGCTAACATGTCCAGGCTGATAGGAAACCCAGGAATAGTTCAAAACTGCCATAGATGCCCAGGCCTGCCCCACGAGGACAAGGACAGCGATTCTTCATTAACAAAAACTTTGGAGGTGGGGGGGAAATGTGAAGGATCCATCTAGATTTTATATAACATCCTTGGCCAAGGCCAAAAGCATAGGAACAGTGGGTACCAAGTTCTTAGATTCACCGCACAGGCCACTGCCTATGTGTAAACATCTCACACATATTTGGATGGGCTGGCGGGAAGTATTTGAAAGCATGTAGTTGCACATACATGTACACACCATTAAATCCCCAGCCGCAAAGCAACCACAGACCCTGTGCGCCCACTTGCCTTATTCCAGCATTTTTCACTCAGGCCCGGGACACCTGTGCACTGAGCACTCTCACAAATAATGTCATGGGCTTTGGGCTTCTCTGACCGGACCTGGGCACCCAGCCAACGCCAACGCTGGGGAATATCCCAAAGGTAGACGCACAGGGGGAGAGCAGGAGTGGCCCTCTCCCTTTCCAGATGAACCAAGACGCCCTACACGTCCCACTCGGGCTCCTGGTGAAGGAAACCAGTGTTCAGCCCCAGGGCGGGAGAGGGGGCCCGCATCTGGAGGGACTCACTTCCCGCCTTCCCCGAAATAAGTAACCAGGAGGAATGCAATCTCTAGGGAAGAAAAACATGTAAGAAAGGGCATTCTTCCCACATGCATGCCTGGATGGCAGGCAACTGAGATAAGCTTTGACACTGCACACCTGCCGCGGAGGAGCGAGGACCGGAGGGAAAAAAAATCCTTGGGGGGGGGGGGGAGGAGCGGGAGAGTCTCTGGTTCTGCGTAGACAGACAAAGCCAAAAAGTTAAGGCAACTTTCCTCTTTAAAATGTGTCAGAGCAGTCTCGGGCGAAGGGGACAGAGCTCCGGTCCCACTTACCAAGGAACGAGGGCCGGCTGGGCGCCAGAGGACTGCGGGGTGGGTCTGACTGCCGTTCCGGGCTGCTTTCTGTAAGGGAGGTGATAGCTCCCCATTACCGGAGCCAGTTGGCCGCCTCTTTTCCAAAACCGCTGATTCCAGGTGCCCGCGCTGAGAGCGCCCGAGGCATTTCACGACCGCCCTGGGTTGGTGAGTAAAGGGAGGGTGGCGGGGCTCCCTCCACCCGCTCCCGAGGCAGACACGGACTCGAACCGGAGCTCCGACCCGGGCTGCGGCGCCAGACGCCCGAGTCTCCACCACAACAGTTTTCCCACGGGAGGAAGACCCCAAACGCCTTCCCACGAGATGAGGCGCGGGACTCCGGGAAAGAGTCGCGCCCAGCCTGGGCACCCGCAGGGACGCCACGAAATGCAGCCTGGAGCAAAGGTTGCCACCGCCTGCCCCGCAAAGCTGCCCGGGCCGGGAACTTGGCGGGTCACGGGCCAGGGCGCGTCCCGGTCCAGGGGAGCAGCCCCGAAGCCCCCTCCCGGCTGCGACTGGACCCGCGCTCCGGAGCTGCGGCGGCGACCAGAGCAGGTTTTAGCCCCTAAGCACGCGGGTCGCTTCGAGCCCAGGGTCCCCGAAAGGCGAAGGGGAAGATCTCTCGGATTCCCGGAGGACACATCGCGGACACCCGCAGGAGAGGGGACCCAGGCCCCCAGACGGGACGCGGCGGCGCTGAACAAAGTTGGGGCGCAGAGGGGTTCGGTCACCGGGGCGCCCCGCCCGCGGCTCCGGCTACTTACACGAAGACCCCGAAGAGCAGGGCTCGCACCCCGATCTCGATGGCCAGCTCCCGCATGGTGCGTCCGGAGCGGCTCCCGCGGCGGCTGGTGCTCTCGGCGGCTCCCGCAGCTCGGCCAGCGCCGGCTCGCCAGACCCCGGGCGGCGAGGGAGGCGCGTCCAGGCCGCGGGCGGGGGCGGGAGGCGGGCGCCGGGCGGGGGCGGGCGGCGGGGAGGGCTCAGCCCAAATGGCCAGGCTCGGGAGCCGTGGCTCCGGGACCCCCGCTTCGGGCCCCTGCTCCGCGCACTGCAGCGAGCCGGGATGCCTTGGGGACTCCTCGCTCCCTAGCGTCCAGCTGCCCGCCACCGGCGGAGGGGAGACCGGGGAAGCCCCACGGCCGCCGCCCTCCCTGCGCGCTTCGCAGCTCCCCCGCCAGTGGGCGGCCTCTGGCTCGCTGCGCGCTTCTGTCCGGCTTTGGGCTCTGGATCCCTGGTAGATGCAAGCACGTGGGAGTCTGGAGGATTTGGGGGGGGCGGTGATCTAGACTGGGGCAGCCCCGGGGCCTTCTGCCCTACCCAGGAGCACTCCGCCCTTCGGTTTTCTTCCCTCCCTACATTCTTTCATTTTTTTTTTTCCAGGAAGTTCTTCAGGGACCACGGACGGGCTTCTCTTTGCTCCCAGGTGGGGAGCTCTGGCAAAAATGAAAGGCCTAGCTCCCCACCGTTCCACAGCGCCAGGTGGCCTGGTGAGGGGGCGGGGTGGGAAAACGGGATCCCCCCTCTGCCAGCCGCTCCCCGCCCTGGCAGCTGTGAGCTACTGCACTGAGAGATGTGGAAGTCAGGCACAGCCCTGTCTGCTCGCGGCCACGATCAGGTTCGCCTGTGGCTGGTACAGCATTCAGGCTGCAAGGAGAGCCAGGAGCTTCCTCCTCCGAGTTGAGTCTGAGCACTCAGCTCCCAGCAGCAGCCTCAAACTGGGACCCAGATTAGCTTTGCTTTTCCATCACCTGTCAAGATTTGTCTTGGCATTTGAGTTCAGCCTTACCAATTTAAAGCAAATAGACATGCAAAAGGCGCAACTCCGCGTGATCAATAACCATCGAGTTGTTCCTAAGGAGCTCTGGTCTCCACTGGGTTTTAGAGGAGAGGCATGCAACTGGCATTTCCAGAGCCCCAAATGGTTCCTAAGGTGGAGGAGCCCTGTCTCCATCATGGGTGAAAGAAAAGGGCAAGCTTACCCTACCTCCGGAGGGTACGCATTGGCAAACAAAGATCCCTGTATCAAGCCAACGCTGCTTCTGACGGGGAGGTTAGAGGCAGGAGGAGGGACCCAAATTCCAAGAGGGAGGGACAGGCTGCAGACTGGCTGCTGTGCAGGGTAGGGCCGGTTACTGCCTGCTCAGCCCTGGGATCCCGGGGTGAGTATTCAGCAGGTGAAGAAATGAACGAGGGACTTGGTACCACCTCAGGCACACTGGCTGACAGGTGCAAGGGAGGGAAGAGGCATGTTTGTCTCACCTGTGCCTTGGACCCGCAGTTACTCTGAGTTAACGTGGTATCAGAGAGCCCAGCGCAGGGAACTCCGTGGCCTAAACCTGAGGCTGTCGGGTGGCAGTGTTCCAGGAGGGGAGTCTAGCAAGAGATTCTTTTGCGGAGACACCACTAGCCTTAAGCATGAACGGAATGTGTAAAACTGTAGGCTGGATTCCAGGATTCGAGAACCACTTCCTGCCCTCAAGTACACGGGGTCGATCAGTCCTGTGGACTGAGCCAAACTCAGGTTGATGAGAAGCTGAGTGTGGCCATCCTGTTTCCAGAAACTTAACACTTGGGCTGTGGCTCCACACTGTGTTCTTGTATTTAGTTTTGGAGTTACCTAGAGAGGGCATTGCACTGAGCATGTGGCTTGGTCACTGGAGTCACAGGTGCCTTTGAAGCCTACAGATCTAAGGACTTGCCCAGTTCAGCCCTCCTTTTGATGCCTGAGTTTGTGCTGGGTTCTCCTGCTATGATCCTGTGCAGGCAGCAAATTTACTCTTTTTAAGACAATCTTTGCTTTGTGTTTTGTGATCATTTGTGGGTTTTTTTTTTTATCATTTTATGATACAGTTCCATAGGCATTGGGACTTTCCTTATCCCCCTCCCCAAGTCCTATCCTCCCACTGAGTTCCCCTATATTATTACAATAGTACAGTTCTTCATAAACAGCAATATGTCCATCATTGCAGGCATGGACAATGGCAGAGAGTCCAGCATCCTATTGTCAAGATACAGTTAACAAAGTTTCACATCTTTGATGTGGAAGTAGAGATGTACACTGCATTGTATCCTCACATCTGGATTTGACAGTCTCCATTACACAGTTACTATACATTGCCTTAATTGTAAAACCACAATACAAAATCAACAACTGGAAGAAAATAACAAAACCATGATGTTAAATAACATGCTACTGAACGACTAATGTGTCACTGAAGAAATGGAAAAGAAAATCAAGAACCTTCTTGAAGAAAATGATGCTACTATATGATCTATGAGTCAGTGAAGAATTTAATGAGAGTTTTGAAGAGATGAAGCTTAAAAAAAAAAAAGCATCACTTTTGGTCAAGCCTGTTGGGAGTTCTGTGCCCCTCCTGGATGTTGTTTCCCAATTCTCTCTCTAGATTAGGGACATTTTCCTTTATTATTTCATTAAATACATTTGTCAACCCAGCTTCTCTTTCTGCACCTTCTGGGACTCCCATAACTCTTATATTGGGCCTTTTAATAGTGTCTTTCAATTCTTGAATACTTTTTTTTGGTCTGATCCAGCTCTGCTTCCAGCTTTTTGCTTGTTTTCCCCTGGTGACAGGAAATATCTTCTAATTCTGAGATTCTTCCTTCTGCTTGTTTCATTCTGTTTTGGAGACTCTCCACTGTGCTTTTAACAGGCTCCACTGTATTTTTCATTTCTGATACATCAGCTTTCATTTGATTCATTTCCTTGAATGCCTACTCTGTGTACTTCTCATTGTTGATAAGAAGCTTTACAATGAATTTTTTGAACTCTGTATCCCCCATTTTCTTGATGTCTTCCTCAGTTAACTGTGAGGTTGGTAAAGGCTTTTGCTCCTTTGCAGGGGAGTCTTCACTAATATTCATTGTGCCTTTGTCTCTTCTTTTGCTCTTGGTCATTGTACTTCTGGTTAGCAGAGTCTTCTCCTTGGGGCAGGTTTCTAAGCTGTGTCGCCTACATGTCTGCAATTCTGTTTTACTTACTGCAATTGGTACATATCTCCTTTTTTGCAGTCATTTGTGCCATGCCCTCCAGTGAGTTACAGGTCTGGGTTCTTATGTTAGATTTCCACAAAGAACTCCGTAGCCCCAGCGCCTGGCTCACCACTCTCCACCTCCTGTGATCTCCTGCTGAGGCTGCACCATTGGCTGTACAACCTTTCTCCCACTTCAGTTCATGCTGATGTTTCTCTGTTTAAATGTGTCCTTACCCTATTTGGCCATCTTGATTATCCAACAAATTCACCCTTGATTATTCAGCAAATGCCACACCCTCTTCAGCCAGCTCTGTTGGATCTGCTGCCTCATTGGGAACTGCAACTTGTCTTGATGCCTTCCTCCTGTTCCACTGCCCCTCCCCCTTGCCACCAGCCACATGGAACAGGTGTCATCAGAACTTTCTTAGTAGCCAGCCACAGGTGGCTCAGTCTCAACTTGGTTTAGAAAGAGTAGTTGTAAATGTCAGTGGAAGATCAGGCTTCAGGCCACATGAGAGTCAGTGCCAGCAATGTCATCAGGACTTGGTTCTCTCCAATGCCCTGTTCTGGGGACACTGGACACAAATCTGTCTCAGTTCCCGAGACTATGACAATTCCAGTACTGCATCCTCTCAGATTCAAGTCTGACCTCTGCTTTGATCCCAGCACTCCTGTATAAGTGTGACTGGATGTTATGGTTACTGCCAAGCCTGAACCAGTCATGATGGAGGTACTCCCCGAGACCTGAGTCGCATGGTTTATTTCTACCCAAAACCCCTAAGAATGGATGAGAGGGCCCAACACGAGAGCATAACGGCTAAAGTCCTTGCCTTGAATACACTGGGATCCCATATCGGTGCTGATTCTAATCCCTGCGGCCCTACTTTCTGTTCAGCTCCCCGCTAGTGGCCTGGGAAAGCAGTAGAGAACGGCCCAAAGCCTTGCGACCCTGTAGCCATGTGGGAGACCTGAAGGAAGCTCCTGGCTCCTGGTTCCTGGTCTCGGATTTGCTCAGCTCCAGCCATTGTGGCCACTTAGGGAGTGAACCATCGGACAAAGATCTTCCTCTCTGTATATCTGTCTTTCCAATAAACATAAATACATTTTTAAAAATGGGGGAGGAAAGTGAGTGCAAAAGAAAGATGGGCATGCTGGGATTTGGAGGAGGAAAAAAAGTTTGATGGAGATAAGCTATCAAGGGCCACTGGGCCATGCCTTACCCTGCAGAATGAAGACTGATAGGTGCCCACTGTGTCTTGTGCAGCTGCAAGGTCTCCATCCAGGCAAGAGAGTGCCTCTGAGTGCTCTGTGGTAAGGCTGCCCAATTTCTGCCTTTGTCAACACAGACCAGTAGGACGGTTTAAGGAAAGCTGTGATGTCATCCCTGGGGTTTGTTTGCAGTTGCCCAGCCTCTTTCCCAGCCACTCGTGCCACCCTCTCATCTTCCCTAATGATCTCCTTTGTCATCTACCAAAGTTGGCTTGTACAGGAAGCACTCTAGTCTCATTTATTATATAAGACCAGATCAGGCTCTCTCTCAAAATAAACCTGCTCCCTTTAGAAGAACAGACAGACTCTGCTACTTTTGCAAATGACTGCACAGAGCATCCTCGGTGCTTGGAGACATGCGGAGCTGGCAGTCACCCCCAGAGGTACAGAGGCAGCCAGCGCCAGCAGCTGTCCAGCTGTGAACCTGTGCCAAGCAGTGGAGGCTCTCAGGAGAACCATCGTGGCATCAGTAGAGAAATGAGTCAACAATGAGTGACCACGCAAACACAGGGCAGACAAAACCACCCAGCTGATACACTCATGGAGTGCAATGAGTTCCTAGTGATAAAAGCCTAGAGTCAGAGGATCTGAAAATTTCAGAGACACTCCATCCTAACAAGGCAACATGTCAACCCCTTGCTTGCCTGACTGATCTTTAAAAACGATTCCAGAATTTAGACGTTCATTAAATGAAGTCAGCCACAGGGTTTTCATGGAGTTACA